GTGTGTTGGAGAGGCAAAGCTACCACCCCCGGACCACAAAGGAGTGAGGGCTGCAGAGAGGAGGGGTTCAGCTTCCAACCTACCTGGCCCCTCTCTCTCGCTTTGTATATAAGTTAGGGTTCTTTGGTTGCAAGCAACAACAAGGACTCTGACTGATTCGTATATGAAAAAAGAGTGGGATTACCAGAAAAAGTTTTAGGAGCAAACAGAATAGAAATAAGAACTGAACAGCTAGATATCAAGAAGGTCAGGAATGTAGGCAGCAATGGGGCTCTCAGCCCCAGGAACTCCTTGGAGTAGGTCTTTTTTGGGGAGCTGCCATTGGATGGTTCAGTTATAACTGTGTATCTCTGCTTCAGGGTGAAATCATGGGAGAGAATCTGATTGGCCAGTTTGGGCCATGTGCCCCATGGCAGGTATTGTAATTGGCTGCCCCATCAGAATGATCTAAAAAATGGAAGAATAGTTCGCTAAAGGAAAAAGGATGCTATTACCAGAATAAGAGAGAGGAGGGATGCCAGGCAGACAAAACAACAAAGACCACCTTAGTCACAAGCTAGAGGGTGACACCCCTGCCTCCTGGGTCTATCTTTGGCTTGGGCTGTGCCCGTAGCAGTCAAAGACTGAGAGAGAGGCTGTAACCAAGGAAAATCACAGCATACACAGCAAGCTCAGTCTATTCGTGATGCAGGTGGATAAACTGGGGCCCCGAGATGGGAGATGATTTGTCCCTGGTCATAGCCTCGGTTCTAACCTGCAACCAGTGCTGAACAAGAAGCCCAGAACAACTCAAACTGGACCCACAGGCTTTGGCTTCAGCTTCTGGTAGAAAGTTTCCATGTCAGAAATGGAGTGGAGGTGAGCATCCCTATGGAAGCCGCTGGGAGGGATCTTAAGACGCTCCGCGTAAAAGGTTAATGCAGATGTTCCATAAATATTTGTCCAGCTTCCCTGGCTGCACCTTGGAGCTGGGAGGCAGATTTGGCTCCCTCACACTTCTAGCGCCACACCCCAGATCAAAACAGAAATGCCAGGACCTGGGATCTCTGTGGCAGTGACCTGTCTGGGGCTGTATCCAGCTCCTGGCTCTAGTGGAGCTTTTAGAGCTGGCCCTGGGGGCTCTCAAAGTGACCCTTCCTCCAGGACCTCAGGACAGTCCACTGCAGAGAACGCCGGGCTCAGGCCTCCCTCTCGGCCCTGTTCCGCCCCTGCCAGGCCTAGCCAGGTTCCTGCAGACCCAGACAAACGCAGCTCCTCTTGGTGTTTATAGTCTGTAAATACTTGTGGCCATTTCTGCTGCCCTGGCGGGGCTGGGAAGACTCATTCATTCTGCCTGCCCTTATTAAGTCAGTAGACTATCCAGCCTTTGCTTCTGTTCAGATTCTCTCCTTAGGGCCTGAGGCTACAGCTGACGACCCCCTTAAGGCTTTTTCTCTCCCGAGGGTTGGCATGGTGCCTCTGCAGCCCCTTGGCTCCTCCTCCTCCTATGCCATTGTCTCTCGGCATCTTTCTAATCCCTTTTCCCCCAGGAGGTCTCATTTCGGCCCCAGCTGATCTGGCTTCACTTCCCAAGTCCCTTCTCCTGGAAGGTCCAGCCTCCAGCTTGAAAATCTAGAATGTGGAGTGGGGAAGGGCCCTCTTCCCACCCTGCTCTGTCTTCTCCTGTCCAGCTGGCATGAGGAGGGCCTTCCCTTTGCTGGCCTTCTCATGCTGGGCTGTTTCTGCCCGCTTCCAGCTCATTAGTGCAGGTATGACAGGAGCCAGACCTGTCTCCTGCCCAACACTGAGCTCACGGCCCTGCTTGGGCGGGCCCCTTCCTGCCCCCTGCCCCAGCACCCTTTTTTCCCACCCAGTCTAGAGCACTTGGCACCCAATGCACAGCCCTCCTCCCCTTGCCTGCCCTGTGGGCTGTCTCTGTTTCTGTGTGTCTTTGTCTGTCTGTCTGTCTCTCTCTCTCTGTGTCTGCCTCTCTGCCTCTCTGTCTCTCTGTCTCCCTGTCTGTCTGTCTCTCTTGTCTCTGCCTCTCTCTCTCTCTGTCTGTCTGTCTCTCCCTCTCTGGCTTCCACTGGCCTGGCTCTCTTTACAGGGTCTGGAAATGGGGACCCTGTGGATCTAGCCCAAGCTTCCTCAGCCAACATGGAGCCAGCGTGAAAGTCTGCAAGCAGATTTTTGGGGGGGAATTTGAAGAGGTTGTGACTCCTAGGCGAAACAGGACCTCCTTGAGCCATCTAGCCTTCCCCTGTCCTCTGGGGGAAAAAAACATTAAAACCATCCCAGATCCACAGAGTTTAATCAGCTTTTAAGGACAGCTGTCTTCCTCTTCCTTGCCTTTAACAGAAGGAAATGTCACATGAACCTTTCTAATATGTAAAATCTCTTGCTGTCCTCTCTCTCTGCACATACTCACCAACAAATCTCATGTCAAACTAAAATAATTTCCACCGCAGTTTTAGTCGATGACACTTCACACTGTTCTCAGCAAGCATGGAGAATAAATACTCACCGTCTTCTACATTAAACAAACAAACAAAGCAAACACCTTAATATACACAAAGACCTTGTGAAATCTTCCTTTATCTCCTTTTTCTCCAGGCCAAGGGGTTTCAAGACTTTTCTTCTCAGAGCATATACATTGAGCATCTCTGTTGCTTGCTCATGACTTGCCCTCTTGTTTAGCCCAGAGTTATCTGACCTCAGAACTCCAGTGGCAGAGCCTGTACCTCTGGCATAGGTGAGTGTTGAAATACATTCGTGGGTTGTAAAATCAATGATACTGTGAGTCACAACCAGTATTGTTAAAAAATGGAAGAGAGGTAATAGACAAGAGAATGCATTACATGTAAGGGTAAGTTGTGCCAGTTACAGATGGATACCCTTGCGTCGTGAGTCATGTTGTAAGATGTATTTTTTACTGTGAGCTGTGGTTACAAAGTCTGAAAGCCACCGCTTCCAGCTGATTTGTGTTGCTGGTCTCATTTGGTGTGGAAGTTGGGGGCATGATCATTTGTGAGCTTGCTGGGACCTGACACTCCTTCACGGCCAAGGATGTAGAAGGAGGGACCAGGGAAGCCGTAACCTGGGACACTATTTATTGGAATCTGCGGGAGTGACGTTGGATGGTTGTTGGGGGAATAGATGGGCGGTGGATGGTTTGGAGTTAGATGCCCCCTGAGGTTTCTTTGACTCTGAGATTCTGCTGTGGCCTCACCTTTGCACTATCCACCATTATACTCTTCCTTATTCTTCCCTCCTGCTGGGAGTGGGAGTTCTGATTCCTCGTGCCACAAGATATTGTATTAAAAATGGTAGTTCTGATTACTTGTCACACAGGATGACTTTCTGGCTCGACATGCAGCAAACTGCTATCAGTATTATCATTTATACAATGAGAACCACAAACTGTCGCTATCTTGTCTTTCCTCCTCCTCACCCCTCCAGCTATGGTTCTTGTCCAGAGATAAGAAAGACTGTTGGGTTTAATTTCACAAGACATGTTCAGAAGCATGCATGTAACTTATTTGCTTCGAAATATTGGTATATTCCTTGGAACTTTGGAGCAGCTGCCCTCATACTGCAGAATGAATGACTGCAAGCTCTGGGGGGAGCTGGTGCACAGAAGACGGCCAACGAATGTTTGCTGGACAAGTGAATCACCTCTTGAGTGTTTGTTTTGGTGACCAGGCAGCACTATAGCTCTTCAGGTCTACTCTAGAGGCTGTTAAGGATTCCTCCTTCTTTGCCATGGAATCAGAGTTCATGCTGGAGCAATGCCAGCAGCTACAGTCATGGCCATTGGCAACTCAGGCTATGCAGAAGCTCCACGCAGCTTTCCAAGTCCTCGAAAACAAGACTCTTCCGACTTCTAGATGTTGGTTTTTATTTCCACACCATCATGGCCATTCCTGGCGGGTGACTGAGACAGGCTGTCAAACAAACAAACAAAGCCTCAATTAAGAAAATTGCATTAAATGCTTCTCAAACCCACTCACATCATGTGCGCCCAACTTCCTTTGCCCCTCAGGAGATGTGCAGATACATTTGTGTTTCATCTCCTCTTCTTTTACCTATCTCGGGAACCCTCCACATGGTTATCATGAACTTTATCTTGCATCCTCTCCTTCACATGTCTTATTTTTGGGGGATGTGGGACAAGTGTGAGGCAGAGACACAAAGGTAGTGGTGGGACTGAATTTAGGTATATGTTTTAAAGTGAGTACTGGTCCTCTCCTACCTTCTCTCTGGCCCTTCAGCCTATTTGCCCTTGGTCTCCCAGGATCACCCATTTCTCTGCAGTGACACCTGCTGTTGTGTGACTGCTGACCCCTGAGCTAGCTCATGCATCAGGGGAGCCCTCAGTGACCGAAGGACTCCTGGACACCAGCAGTGAGGTGCCTGGGGTTTCGGGAGTCAGAGCCACTTTGCCTTCCCAAAGGTCAACTCTCGATGTCTGAGATGAGGAGCCCAAGGCCAAGAGTGGAGAGGAGACCTTGGGCAAGGAGAGGTAATGGGGAAGCCTGAGCTTGTCACAGACTCAGACATTCCTTAGAGGTCCTTCTCCCATGTAGGAATCTTTTCTACAATGCCCACCTAGCTGCTCTTTGGACACTTCCACTGTCAGAGGGCTCATTAACCAGAAATGGAATCTGTCTTGGAGTTGGACAACTCCAAACGTTGCGTTTACTGTACGTGAAAATCTGTGTTCCCATATTTTTTCTTGTTCCTGACCCAAGATCTGGAACAATGCTGAGAACTCTACTGTGGCAGAGACGATACCATTAACTTTCCATTTTACGTGACACTTCAGTAACTGTGACTAGAGTTGGCCATGCTTTCCTTCCTTACATGTAATTTTTCCTTGGATTCTGTGCTATTTCCTCCTTCCACTTCGATATCCCTTCATTATCTCATCTGTGAGATTCTCCTTTCCCCAACCTCAAAGTACTAAACCCTTAACTCTTAAGAAAATTATTGAGAGATATTTTGTATATCATACGATTCACTATTTTCAAATGTATGATTCATTTATTTTTCGATAAATTTACCAAGTTGTGCAACCATCACCGTAACATTTTCTCATCCCGGTAAGATCTCTTGTGCCCACTTACTGTTCACTCTGCCCCCACCCCACTCCCACCCCTATCCCTTGAATCTACTTTTTATGTCTATAGCTTTCCTTTTTTGGATATTTCATATAAGTGGAATCATACGATAAGTGGTGTTGTGATTGGCTACTTTTACTGTGTATAATGTTGTTGACCTTCATTCATGTGGTAGTGTGTATTTGTAGATCAGTCCTTTTATTGCTGAATTGTGTTTCATTGTATGGATATGCCAGATTTTATTGATCTATTCACCAGTCGATGGACATTTAGCCTTTGATTTTTATGAATTATGCTACTACGTCTGTGTTATTTGTGTGCAAGTGTCTGTGTGGGTATAATAAACCCTTAACACTTCTCAATCTTAAGGCAGTCTGTTTCAAGTCTACAACACTAAAGCCCACACCCGCAGCCTTTTTCTCCTAGGCACACAGTTAGATGACATCTTCTAGCCTGCCTTGTTGTAAGATATGGCCATTGACTGAGTTCTGGTCAAAAGAATGTGGACAGAGCGTTGTTTGCTTCTTCCAGACATTAACTTTGAAAACATCTGTGCAATCTTCCACATTTTTCCTCCTCTCTCTCCATCTACTGGCTGAATGAGAAGGTGGAAGAATCTTGGAGCTCCATGATGGAAGGATCCTTGGGCCTTGCATGACAATGTGGATCAGAGCCCTGCTTGATTGGAACAAACATAAATTTACCATTCTGAAGTTGTTTCTTACTAAGTTAACCTTCTATGACTAATGAAAACACAGAACAACTGAACCCCTTTTTTATCCAATAAACAGTTAAAATTGCCAGACTCTCCTCCACCAAGATTCCTCTTCTCCAGTATCTCAGCTATTCTTGGGTTGTATTAATCTCCACCCAGGTTTCCTTCAAGGTTGTAATAAGCCATTTAAAACATGGCAACAGAATCAAGCACAAAACTGCCATTGTGTCTTAACAGCTTGAAGTACACTGTTACCCACCCCCACTTCCCTGCCTCCACCCCCCTATTCTGAGCTCTGGATTCTATCCAAAATGGCACCAGACCTTTTAGAAGTTTACATTTCTAGTTTATTTCAGACTAGTGATTAGCTAGGATCTCCTTTTTCAATAGTTTCTGCACTTCCCCTGCCTTACCCAAATAAGGTCATTTCACATGAACTGCTATCAAAGCAAGTATCCTTTATTGTTTTTTTTGGACCAAGATGCAAGACTTTTTCACTTATCTTTATTAAATCTCAACTTATATAGATCATCTTATATCTTGCTTCTATCATCCAGTTTTATCATTTATTCCTCCAGTTCTATGTCATGTGAAAATTTGATAAAAATGCTTTTTCTGACTTCATCCAAATTGTGAGAAGTCTTATATGGGTCCCAACCCTGTCTCATGTGCTACTATAGATCTCGATGACCTCCATCTATTCTTCAGTGTGGGGAATAGTTGTTTAAACATCTGTACATATATATAACAGTATTACAGTAGGCTCCACATTTTCCCAACCTATCTGCATCGAATATCATTGGAATTTGATCTATCACTCAAATCTGGCAAAATTTCTCTGATGAGGCACCCCATTGCAAAGGAAATGGGGTAGACCCCAGTGTGTTTTAATTTTTGTAGACTTGGCTCCTAATCATTGCTATATCTCCTCCTCACCACTTGTTCCATCTTCTCTGGGCCAGACTTGCCGTGCTTTCTAGACTCCACACAGATAGCATCTTCTCCAGAATCTTCCCTGACTAATTGTCCCATATTCCCATCCTGGAGTGCTCTGTCCTTGCGTTCACATTGCACCCTGAATTTATCTCAATCACAGCACTTAACTATGCTAAGTGTTGCTGCCTTTCCTACTACATTGGACATTCCTTGAGGATAGGGACTAAGTCTTATTCTTCTTGGCAACACCGATGCCTGAAAGAGGTGCTCAATAAATGATAGCTAAAATGCACTGGCCACTCCCCAGCTATCTGTTGGCTGTCAAACACGTATGGCTTATTTATCTATGGGCCAAGCTGTGAGGGAGGCTGTAGAGTGGGTGGGCTTGGATATGTATATTATGACACTTAGACATGATGTAACTTCAACATGTGCTTGTAAGATTGGAGAGGAACCTGAGGCCAAGTGTGAGTGAGACTGGGGACAGAAGCCTCACTTGGGGACTGAGTCACCCGAGGAACTTGAGCCCAGAGCAGGTGGGTTGGGAAAGAAGGGACATTCAGGTTGGTGGGTCATGGCAGCAGTGGCTGAGAGGCCAGACCAAACCTATCACTTCAGCAGCTCCACAGCTTCCATAAAAAAGGAAGCATGTGGAGGAGACAGACAGGTTGGAAGGGCTGGGGGATTGCTTTTAAATAAGGCAAACACACTGGCTTTACGCTGTTTGGTGTTTATTTGGAGTGGTTTTGGATGGATTGATGGAGATTAAGAGCGTGCGGCTTCCTCCCCACACAAATGATCCCTTGTTATTGGCCAGAGGATACCAGTTTCAGAATTCCAGACAAATAATCTGTTCCTTCCCGGGCTAGCTGGTGGTATGGATGTGGCTAAGAGGTCCATCTTTCTTATAAAAGGAGCTGCCTAGAGCTAAGCCCTCCATAAATTGACCCTAACCTACCCTTCCAGCCTTATTCCCTTACATAGCCCCCATTCTTATCTGAACTCCAGCTACATAAACTGCTTGTAATTCCCCCAATAGCCCCAGCTTTGTTGTACATCCATGCCTTTGCATTATGCAGTGCCTCTCCTTGGTATGTTCCCCTCTGCTACACGGTGAACTCTCCCTTAGCCTTCAATATTCAAGTCAATGTCAGGACTCTCTCAGAGATGCTCCCTAGCTAAACTCCACCCTGCATGGTTGGCAGTTCTTCGGTGATCCCAAAAGACTGGGTTAAATCCCCTGTTGAAGCATTTACCATCACACAGGCAGAGAGTACGTCCTACCTATCTTCAGTGCTTGGCACATATTAGGTGCTCAGGTGTTTGTGGGATGGAGGGCATCATGCTCCCAACCACACAGGCTGAGTATTAGACAGAAGGCAGATGCTTAGAGGAATCTCAGGCAGCAAAAGGAATTCCAGGCCCCACCCAATAGTGCACCTGAAAATATTGATACATATCTTGAGACTGAGGCTGTGGGTGGCACATTTCAGCAGTTATGAGGGGGCACAGTGTACGTGTGTCTGCATCTGGTGTGTGTGTATCTGTGCCTGTGAGAGAGGGAGAAAGAGAAAGAGAGGGAGAGAAACAGACAGAGAGACATCAGTCCTCCATGGAGCAATGGCTCCATCAGAAACGGGGCTGTTTCCCCTCAATCACCATGGACCCTTCTTTGTTTCTTCTTGCCAATTGGAAGAGAGGAGATGTTGACAGCTTATCTCTAATACATACCCCGCCCCGCCCCCGCCCCCCCCCCCCCGACCCCACACCCACCCTCTCCC